CCCTCGTCCTCCCCTTCACCCCCAACCTTCCCTAGCTACATCTCTGCCGGGAGCCAGAACATCCAACTGCAGACTCTGCCCAGGCCAGCCAAGGGTTTGGGGGACCTGGCGCCACACAGGCACTCCAGGAGCCTGGAACACCCTGGCAACCATGCTGTGGCCTGGTATTTTTTTCCTGCAACCCAGTACCAGGCCGCGGCCCATAGTTTGGGAAACACAGCTTTAGAGCTCTTGCAATCCTTTTTGCAACGATGAACCAAAAGACTCTCTTGGAGCTAATCAATGGGGTTCCTCACAGAGTCGTAACTAGCTAATTTGGTGCCTGAGGCAAGACCGTCCTCAGCGTGAGCAGGAGTGCTGATGTGATGCAAGGCATGAGCAAAGACAGCTTAGTAGCTGTCTTTTCTGCGCTCCCTCAGCTATGCGCCCAAAGCAAATGCCTCACTCGCCTCGCCCTAGTTACAGCCCTCCTCAACCAGCTAGTGAGAACTGCCCATTTTCTAGGGCTGAGTGACCTACTTTGTCAGTGGCAGCCAATAGCCAAAGCAAAAACTCCTTTATGGTAAGAATCTGTAATATCTATGTCATGTAGAATCTTAAGCTAGGAAAACCATGTGTTTAAAATCAATTAATTACAGAGCTAAGCATTTTAAAAGCATACTTGTTCCCCTTTTGTATACTTAGTTTGATGTACACTGTCATGGCTCCTTCCCCACTCTGGCACGATAAATGCAGAAGTGGGGGCCAGCAAGTGTACCCCAAAACCTTATCTACCAGGCTTTGGTATAAAACTTCCCCCCAAAATCTTAAAACCCTAGATTCTGGGGATAGAATCTCTCCTGCCACTACCCAAATTAATACAGAAACCAGGGGAGAGACTATTTGGGAAAATCTCATCCCTCAAGTAAAAAAACAGAACACCACCATTAACTAATACCAGGTTAGTAAAACACCTCAAGTAAAAAAACAGACCACCACCATTAACCAATACCAGGTTAGTAAAACGAAAACAGAAAACTTTTATTATCACCACAATATTCCTGTTGCAAGCATAATGCCTAGATGGAAAAGTAACAAAATATACTCATGGAGAAACTCCATGGGCCTAGAACTTAATTACAAAGAAAAGACAAAACATCTTTTAAAAAGTGCACAGACAGCAGATCCCATACCCAAACCATAAAACAATGAAACCTAACGGATCTATTTAAACTTTACCCTACTTAAGGAAAGTGAGGAAAGAGTCTTTTCTTGGAGGGAGACATAGAGTCTGTCCCCCTCAATAGCTGGAGAGAATTGTCCAGAACAAAGGAGGGAAAAACCAAAAATTCCTTTGTCCCAGTTTGAAATTCCTACCTACATTCCTATTGGCCACTCCACCTGGCTAGGTAAGGGACATAGGTAACCCCTTAGACCCCAGGCTTCTGGCTAACCCTCATGATCATGACACACACAGATACCAATATAAACTGATAAGCAAAGTTCATGCCAAAACAAATGCTCACGTTGCAGTTGCAAACCCCTGAAGGAGAAGGTTTTGTCATGGAAATGCTGACACCCATAAGACATGCAAAATGGTATTGTTATGCTACTGCTAGAGCTGTTGTAAACTCATTTTCATAGCAAGGACTAGACAACATAAGTCTGATTTATTTTCTGCAACAAATATATGTTTTGTCTCTCTTTATTTTTACTATGTTTTTGTGTCACATCATCATTAACGATAGGGGGGAAAGGAAGCTGCAAATTTGAAATGGGTTGTTCAAATATGAATTCAGCCCTGTGAATTCAGTTGCACATAGTAATAAAGCACATCAAGTCTTGTGCAGTTCCTAGACCAAAAAAAAAGTGTTAAGCTGAAGTAAAGCTTGAGAGAACTTACCAGTAACAAGGGTAAAATATTTTACAGGAACATCCTATTTTTCAGAAGAAGCCATCAGAAACCTAGGTAAGTCTAAACTTTAATCCCAAATGCATGAAAATATGAAAAAGCAGTGGGGACACTGCAATAATTTTAACTCTGTCCACTACAGAGACTCAACTCCATTTTCCCCTTTTTTGTCCCTTTCTTACCTGTTATATAAAAATGTTATCATTGGATTAGAACATTTCCTAAGGGGTTTAAGAAGTTCATAGCCATAGGCTGAGGAGTGGATTTGAAGACTGCACCACGGAGCGGGTGTATTTTTCACAGCAGGAGGAATGCAGCAGTATCTGCATCCTGTGTACTCTACTGATATAACATGGCAACAAGGTTGCTACCAAAAGGGGGATGAAACTCCAGATTGAATCTCTCTAGTCCAGCACCCTGGGAACCTGACTGGTGCCAAATTAGGGATGTAATAGTGTAGTTGATTAACTGATAAGTAAAAGATTATAGGTTAATGCTACAGACTACATGCATTTCCCACCTTCCCCCCCACCATTGCCAGTAAATTTTTTAGCAGGCTGATAAGCAGTCTGGCTCAGTCCTGGCTTGCACCGGGTCCAAGACCTACTCCTGCTGCGGCTCTGCATTTAAAGTGTATTGGGAGCCAGACGGGCAGACAGCCCAGCTCAGTTCCAGCTCACACTGGGTTTGGGAATTCAGAGGCTGCAGCACAAGGTGACAGGCAGCCAATCTGCAAGTGGAACTGGTGTTTAAGCTGGCTTCCCTCCTGGACCAGCTCCCGCCTGGCACACCATGGTGTTTAAGCTGGCTTCCCTCCTGGACCAGCTTCTGCCTGGCACACCACTCTGCTGCCTCTGATACAGAGGTAGCAGTGCGGAGTGGCAGGGGGCTCTTCAGAAGTGGTGCGAGAGTGCACTGGCTGCCCACCCCACCCCACTCCTGGGGACTATAGAATAGTCAAGTAACCAATAAAAATTCATGAGGTTAATGGACTATTCAATTAACCGATATGTAACACCCCTATGCCAAAAGAGAATTTGCCAGACCACAGGAAGTCAATATTGTAAAGCAGCATTACCAACACTTCTGCTGCTTGCTGGGCAATTAGAAGACTGTTAGGGGTAAGTCAGAGATAGGTAGCAGCACAGAACACAGAGAGCCAGGACTAGTGGCTGTAAACAAACTTTATGGGAACTCCAGAAACTCGACCACACTCATGATAAGTGGCTATCCAGCTAACTAAAATCATGCTGGACCATGGATGTTGCCAGACCAGAGTGATGGATAGAAAGGTTTAACCTGCAATAATAGGGAGGTGAAGGAGAGCTTTTTTCTTTCCTTCCTAAATATATCTGTGAGAGAGAGGGAAATTCATCTCTGAATATTCACAATGAAGAGATATTTTCAGGAAATAATGCCCTCAGTGGGACTTTGTGTTACCAGGGAGAAGGGTTTAGGAAAGCCGAAGTGTCTCAGGTAGGAGGGGCCAAAGGATATCATGTCTCTCCTGTGGCTATGACTGATACAGTCACTAGAACTGAGCGTATATCTGCAGGGAGTTTATTGGGAACGAAGTTTTAGCTGGTGCATGCCAGTCCTAGGATGATAGGCAAGAGTCAGGAGAAGATAACATGAGCAGATATTGAGCCAAGATCTTTGGCTTCTGGGAGCTTGGTGGGTAGAACAACAGTATTCAGTATGTTTAATGTCTTTTCCTTTTCATGGAATCTCCTCACACAGAGCAAGATTTTCTGAAATTTCTTATTCAAAATTAACCTATGATAATTGTGAGTATTATTAAGCTTTTTTACTCTGTGGATTTATGCCATATAGTCTCAGTAAGTGTTCAACATTTCCTGTTTGAGCTATGTTGGCTAGTTGTGATTTGTCGAATAAACCACACAATTGATATTATTTCTGTTTCCTGACTAGAGGATAATCTGAGTGCACCTAGCACAAATACTGACATGTTCATATTTTTAAACAAATATTTTCTGCAAATATTTACACAAGCCATTTTTTTAATTAGTTTTCTGAAAAAATGCATACCAGTAAAACTGATTGTTAAATGTCCTCTGTAGTCCAACTCAAAAGAAGTATGTAATTAGCTGGAGCAAATTTACCTCAAATTCTGACAAATATGCCTTTCCCTGTCTCCAAATTGGTCCCATGCACTTGATCTCTTTGAGGTCTTTCAAATAAGTTTTATACAAAGCTTCTCAGAGAAACCATTTTCGAGGAAAGACATGGCAAACGTGTTAGAAAAAATTTTCAAAACATAATACAGGTTTTCAGGGACCTAAATCAAAAAATAATTAGCTTGTCCTAGTTATCTGAAAGTTGAGAAAAAATTCTCCATGTGCCACCTATAGATGATATAAACAACATCTGCATAGACAACATCTGAAATAAAGAAGACCCTTTTTGGGAATTTCAGAGGTGAGAGTCAAAGCTGAGCTTATAATGGAAAGCAAGTCTCAAACTTAACAATGCAGAGGCAGTAACCTCGCCATAATATGACTGTCAGTTCAATTTTTGTCAGTGCAACAAACATGGAATTCAAATAAGTGCTAGCCTCATATTTGGCTGCCAGTTTTAGTCAGATGAGCACCTGCAGTCACGGTCTTATTAAACTGTAGAAACTGAACTTGAAATACCATGTAAAACACTGCCATCCAGTGGCTACTTTTATAGACTGTCAGAAATGTATTTATTGAAGAGACAAGCTATAGAGATTCTGGCACATTTTTCTCATGCTGTCATATTATATTGATCTCTGGAATAGAAAAGCAATTATAAAAGAAAACGTATGATACTGAGGCTTCGGGGTCCTAATGTTACACTTTTGAAATATCAATTTTGGTAGTAATTTATAATAATACTTTGCTCTTATACAGCACTTTTTATTCATAGATCACAGTGCTTCGTAAAGCAAGGGGGGAAACCCTCTTGCCTACTTTTCCATAACTTGTTCTTTGAAATTTGTTGCACATGCTCATTCCACTGTACGTGTGTGCACACCTTGTGCACAGTTGTCCAAAAAAATTCCCTCTGTGATACTCCTTTGAGCAGCTCAAATACCCTGTACTATCACACACCACACACTGGACAAAAAAATTCCCTCTGTGATACTCCTTTGGGCAGCTCAAATACCCTGTGCCATCACACACCACACACTGGAAATACTCTGATAGAGAGGGGAAGGAGTGCAGGTCATGGACTGGATAAGTGCAGCACATCTGAAAACACAACAGTTAAGAGAGGTGAGTAACTATTTTTTTCTTCAAGTGATTGTACATGTCTATTCCACTGTAGGTGACTCCCAAGCAGAGTAACATGTAGGTGTACCTGGGATGAAGAGCAATTTTAGAACAACTTGTCCAAAAGTTGGCATTGTTCCTGGACTGACAGTAAATGGCATAATGAGCAGCAAAAATGTGAACTGATGACCAGAACTCGTCTTTGTAAGTGTCTTGAACAGGTACTTGTGCCAGGATAACAGCTGAAGCCACTTGCACTCCAGTCAAAAGAGCCAACGCTCTAGGCTACATGACTTTAGCTAACTGATAGTACAAATGACTTCAAAAGGAAATCCAGGAAGAAGTCCTCTGAGTAGAAACTGATTTACCATTTACCTTGTCTATAATTGCAACAAATAACTGCCTTGAGGATCTAAAGGACCTCATAGGGTCCAAGTAGAAGGGTAAAGCTCTCAGGAAATGAAGCTTCTTCACAAGCCTATGCTTGTGAGGATTTGGGAAGACTTAGGGTACATCTACACTGCACTCTAAAATCAAAATAAGATACACAATTTGCACTACGCAAATTGCATATCTCATTTAGATTTTATTTCAAAATAGGCTATTTTGAAATTTGGCATGTCTACTTGGTGT